TGGAATTAAATGGCAATTTATATTAATAAATCCACGTTTGCAAATTATTTCACTAACATGCAACAATCAACGTACGTGATTTTATGACATACATAATCTATTGTTCAATAATATGTTTCGAAACAAAGAAAATTAATGTGACAGTTACAGTCTCATAAAGAATATAATTGCTAGATTATATAAAAAGGTAGTTTAAAAGAGAGAAAGAGAGAAAAATCGATGTAATGTTAAATCCAATGTTCAAAAAGTTATCGGAATATCCACTTACACGCGTAAACTTTTATTAAGAATTAGAATCAGGAAAACGCGAAGACGAATGAAAGAAATCTTCTTTTAATCTTACTGATTTTGATATTTTATATTATATATAATAATATGAATGTATAAATAAAACTCATATTCTTCGTTTTACAACAAAGATAAAAGGATCGTAAGCTCTGTTGGTAAATTGTTCAAATCTTTTATTTCAAACTTGAAATATGTAAATGTTAAATGTTTACTTTCTGATTATACACTGTTATCTAATTAGCTTGAATTGAAAGCTTTCGGCTTTTAATTCAATTATGAAGAAAGTTGGAGAAAGTGAGTGTGCCGCTTCCCTCCTATAATACTTTAGTTCCATCAATCATTATCCATATATCGTCTAATATTTTTGTATTATCGCATATACAATATAATCCAAATACAATTAATGTATGTATTACACGTTTCAATAATCCTGTTTTTGTGCTTGTGAATTGCTTCGCGTGACTTTAGTTTTTACAGGCCATTCACAGCTAGACGCGATCGAAGGCCTTGGATATGGCTCAGACGAGTGAACGGTGATTTATTTCTCCCGTCTGTTCTATTTTCGTCATGTACAGCCGTATCTTCCCAGGGTTAGTCCAGGATATAGTCGCACATCCGGATGAATCGAAGTCGTTTGACACTCAGCAAAGCACCACGTGCGGCTTGTCCTTGCCTTTGCAAGTCGCCGTTTCCGGTAAGCCGCAACCGTGACGGAACAAAGAAAATATTAGGCTTATTATCTTCGGCTTATTTCGAGTGTCATTGAAACGTTTTAAATCTCAATTAACTTTATTTAAATTATTATTCTTAATATTTTGGATATTCATGATAATCAATGTCTACAGATTTTTATATTTCTTTAATGATTATAGACTATACTCGATATATACTCGATTGCAATAATAATTGCAGTCATTGCAGTGTAAATGTTGTACTTTAACTACATTGTCTCTCAATTGTTTACTCTACTGATATTCCAATAATTCATTATGTAAACTATTAAACGATTTGTTATTAAAGAAGTATTTCAAACAGCGCTGTTTTAATTCCGAATAATTGCATATAATTGTATATAATCCAAATATGCATGAAGGTTTCGTAAAAAGTATACGTACATTCCTTGTAACATTTAAATGAGGCAATATTTCAATCGTTTCCCAATAAAAAAAAACAAAGTAACCGATAACTGCATATTCATCCAAAATTTGAAGTAAAACTCAGATAAAGCTGGCTTCACCATAAGCCAGAACTTCAATCGTAGGGAAATTACCGGAGACGATTTTTGTTCGCGTGTCAATGTAACGTATATCGCATATGTAGCATAACGTCCGACTTAAAAATGACGACGCCAGCTATTTGCGAGGCATTCGACGAACAGGGTCCCCGTGCTAAGAGTTTAATATAGCCCGGTCATAAGCCTCGAATTCTGGGCCAATAATGTCATGGTTTTTGTCGCACCCACTCACCTCTCTTGGGTACACGCGAAAAAGGGAAAACTTGAATCGAATTGTATCATATGAATCAAATTATATTTAAAAAATATATCATTATTATTAATTACTAATTTATAGAATATATCTTATTTTGTACTTGTATGTAACAATTATAAAATAATTTATTAAAATATAATCAATTGTAAAGTTTATGTGTCCTTACCTCTATCTGCAAAAGAGGATTTATTGGAAAATGATGCATGAGCACGGCGGAAATTGTGATTCTATCCAGTAGTTTAGAAAATTTTAACTCGTTCTCTCTCTCTCTCTTTCAGCAGAAGGGCGGATGTAAATTTTGCGAATGACGGGTGAACGATGATGCAAAACAAATGAGCATCCGGTGTATTTAATCTTGTTGCAAATAATGTGGAGCACCATGCAGAGTGAGCAAATTTACGAATAGCAAGCTGAGCACGTGCGGAACCGGAAATGGTACACACACAAGTGGTATATACACATATATATTAGCAGCGTTAAAAGCTACTATAAATTTGATTAAATTTTCTGCTTATTTTAACTTTACGTCTACTAGCATAATTTTATGCTAGTTAAATGGCTAAACTCGCAGTTAATACAATTTTGGATTAATTAATATTTTATCACAAAAAAGGTGTCAATAGTTTTTCTAAATCACGTGAGAGTTCGATTTCTCACTTACTTTTCTGCGAAATTGACTGCATTTTGAAATAGCGTATCGCTGGAATTAGCTTGCTATTCGATACTCATACAATTTACAATTAATTACTAGATGTATACGTAATCTGGATTTCAATTAACGAGTGCTATGGCAAGTATTTCCTTCGCCAAATGCATAAGTGTATATGTATGTATAAATATATATGATATCAATGCTTGTCACATGTTGCGCGCATATATCTTTTGCATATATATTACATCATATCTTTTTCATGGGTACTTATCGCTTTGCGTGACTCAGTCTGTAATGAAATAAAACAACTATTCGATAATGCATTAATGACTTGTGTGTATACATGTACTTCTCGATATATAACTGAAAATGTGGACAAAAATTTTATACTTCTCATTCTTTACTCTATCAGAAATGATTCATGCCCAATTAGTTTTGCAATCGGAATGTCTGTACTATTTTTCCAATAATGATATCGTAGAAACGGACTTTATACATCAAGATTAATGACAAGTGATGATCAATTTTGATTTTTCTAAGATCGTAGAGAACGTTTCATGGTGCCGAAATTGATTCACGTAAAATCGATTTCGCGTGTAGAACGGCATCACATAACAGTGATCAGACGAAATTTTCTTTTGAACATAGAACAGTTTAGACAGTTCATTTTGTCTCATTACAAGCTCCATTAAGTACAACGCGACGTACTTTCGCCAATCGAACTTTCCTCTGATCAATAAACCGTAACTCAGCTAATCCCTCTTCTTCTCCGCATTGAACCAATCTCTATAATCTTGGAATAATCTCTGCATCATTTTCTAAAAATTTTATAAATACGATAATAGTGTACGTAATTTCAACAAATTAAAATATATTATCTCATATCACTTTTCACGATGTTATTATAAATCTTTAATAAAAAGTTGTAAAAATTGAAATCTTTATTTTTACACAAATTGCGTTGTGATTATCACGTGAGCGCATTATCTCGCATTATTCTCGTAACGCATGTCATTCCGTCCGATTGTTGCACAGCGAAATCACTAGCTGCCGGAGAAGATAAAAACTCATTTACGTAATTCCTGCACTCCGTAGTGCGTTAAATATTTAAATTACCCGGAAAGGTAGATTTCCTCTTCGCCTCTCTTCGCCGAGAGGGAGGAAAATCTCGTAATCCGCGGTTTTAACCATCGGCAAACGATCCCGGCAACTAATCATTCCGATTATCTACGGCAGACACTTAAGCCTCTTTAATCTGCTACTGCTGGTGTCCGATTGAATAAGTCGTGCTTGCGCAAAAATAAAACGGATAAAATATTGAAATTCGTTGCCTTCGAGTTGAAGATATTTTATATGTATGCAATGGATACGAATATATTCTAATGGCACTAATACGATTGGATATTCGCCATACTGACAGATACAGGAGTACAACATCGACATTCGAAGCAATGTATGTATTCGCGGTTGAGAAAGCCAGGCGAAGTTTCGCAATGTCAAGATACGATTCGATCGAGCAAAGAAGACTGGATGTCGGTCGCGTTCCCCTTCACCAATCGGTTGACCAGAACTCAAAGTCTCTGACTTCACTCTGTCGCAGGAATACGTAATCTCCGCTGATATTAATAGGCTCTTTGCCTATTTTTGAGTACATTCAGATCTGTAATGTTTTCTTTCGACAGAAATTTCAGCGAACAAATAAATTTTACCATTTGATGCAGATTTCTTATGTTCATTTATTTATTTATTTATATTAAATCAAAATATATCACGTCAAATATTTATAAATTTTATATTATTCGCATTTGATATGAACTGATCAAGGAGTAGGAATGTGAAAAATTTTAAAGTGAATTTTTTAATTTGTGCTGACTTTTATACACAATTGTTTATTCAGCATGTTCAGCCTAATTAGTATATCAGCTTCATAAATTTAAATTTGCAAATTTTTTACGCAATACGATTCTGTACGTCACCGCCTTTAGATTGCCTCAAGTACGCGCATTTCAATGTAAAAGGACATTCTCCGGAGTGGAATGTCCTAGATCGAGATCGTTATTTAGCCGCTTTATATGTTCCAGAGATAGTGAAACTGAGAATAGAAGTTCAGTGAAATAATGCAAGGACGACAAATCTCTGTTATTTTCATAACAAGATAAAGAGGAAGATTAAGATGAAATACATTCAAAATGAATTAGTGCATAGATAGTGGATGGAAAATAATAATAGTATAACCATAATTCTTGAATATTCTGATAAATTATAAAGTAACGTCAAAACTGCAATTGTTAAATATATTAACTTTCGCTAAAATTGAAGGTATAATCTTATTATTTATAGAAAAATTTCAAATAATGAAAATTTAAATTACAGATGAATAGTTACGTCTTTCATAAGCATAAAAAAAATTGACATTACTTTTCTTAAAACTAGCGTGTATCATATTTTCGAAATTCTAACTTCACAAACATGTACGCATGTTACCAATGCGCGTCCTTCGCGCTAATACCCACGTCTCTAGCATAAAACAATATTCTACGTCCCAGATCCATGTGGTTATCGGCACTCACCTCGGCTAAAAGAATCAGCAGCAGCAGAAGGATGCCGCTGAATTTGGATACCGGCTGCGGACGGAAGACCTTACAGTCCGTCATCCTCGATGAGTACAAAATCCACCAACGTCGAAACCTCCCTGTTCTCGGAGCAATCTCTCTCTTGGTCCACCCCTCACCCCCCAGGCACTGACACCTCACGGAATGACACCCACGAAGACACCTTCGGCGTCCAGTTTAAGTAACGAGGAATGCGCGAGGAATGTGCGTGTCACATCGATCGATCGACGGCACTGGGACTTATTTCTTCGAGTCGCCGTGCGCCGTGTGCGTGCGGTATCACAAGAAATCGCGTGTCCCACTCCGGTCGCCTCGCGGTAACACCTGTTCGGTTGTTTGACAGCTACGCCGGTATCGGAGATAGTGACGGCGACGATGGCGGAGGAGCCGAGGGATCGCGGTAGCAGAAACGTCGGCTGCTGCCATATCAAACGGCGAACCGCGTGTCGCCGAGCCTTCTGCTGGACTGGAGGCTATGCGTTATCGCAGATTCAAAACACCAGGAAACGATGACTCTGGTAGTGCGCGGCTCTCGCACCTCGTTGCTCTTAGCTCACCGGCTCCCCCACTTGGACCTGGCGCATCCGCTGCGTCAGGTGCAACCAGAGTTATGTAAATTTTCCCAGAATAGGAAAAAATTCAATGGATCGTTTCCCCGTATCTTAATGTTTGTTTCCTATTAAATTCCGTTTCGACAAATCGCACAGTCTTCGTGCTGGATTGAAGGAGTTCGATTCAATTCTTTCCTTAAATGTATCTAACAGTGGAATGCTTCTTGTCGTCAAATTTGTCTATTGCGCAACGTTTCCTTTATGTAAAAATTATATTAGAAAACGGAAGCTTAATTGATACAGACATCTAATATAATTTTCATTTATTATACTTTTGTTATAACTGCTCTTTACACTTTGACGTCTGAACTTCTCTATTTGAACGTTGAAAATGTATGTCAGCGACCGGTACGTACATAGGTGACTGTGCTAACAAAGAAAGTATAATAGGCGTGTCTCTACTTCATCTCCCGCGCGTATCGTATCTTTTTGTTCTGCCTTTCTTCATGTTGTTCTTAAATAGAATACCGGTTCCTTCGCTCATCAGGCACCTTTGTTTTCACCTCGACGTTATTCTTGAAGTGTATGACGTAAAGAAATCACATAACACGTTAACGTAGCAATGAACCGAAGATGCTCATAAAATTACTTCGCTTTCTCGCAAAGAAAGTGTATTGTGCTGTTATTACTTCTGTTTTATAGTACTTCTTTTAAATACACTTCTCTCATCGTATCTGTTCTATTCATCGAAAATGCGATATCGCTACTGGACTGGATTAGTTTCCTCCCTTCGTTACTTTGCAATTTGAGTGCTCCAAAGTGTGGAACGAAATAACGAACTAGGGGTGGCACCCTTCGACGCGGTCAACGTGACAACAATGAGGTAACGAAGCAAGCTTCACAAAACATGGAAAATAGTCGAGAAATTGCTCGGTGATCGGAAACGCGTGATTTTGCCTCCACAAAGAGAGAGAGGTCTGTTCGATCGATTTTTCCTTGCATTTATCACTACAATATACCTTGATTTAGTTTTTTATTGCATTGATATTCAATTATGTTGTTCGACGCGATGAAAATTTGTTTCACAAAATTTTAAAAATCTCAATTTCGATTTTTTAATATAAAGCGCTTGTATATATGTATATGTCTAGCCAATATATAAATCCCTTCTATCTTCAAATCTATCTCCGCTTCATCCGATGTCGCTGATGAAATACAAGTACAACTGCACGACGGAACACAACACGGAAACTTTATACGGAATATGAGTTATATGGCTGGATTACGAGTAGATTAAGTCGTTCTGCGGTTTCATGCGTCCACTTACCGAAGAGACTTCCTTCCGTTACTCTATCGCAGTTCACGTGCAAGATATCGCGCGTGAGAACTTAACCACCGCGCGAAACGTCACAGTTAACGACACGCAGCTGCCCCTGAACCGTACATCGGGACGAAAACCATGAGAAACAGAATATTCTAAGTGATTAGGAATACAAACGCTCCGTCTTGGTTAACAAAGGAGCACACACCTGAGCATTACTCCGAAGCCATTGTCTTTGCCGCTCCCTAGACCCTCATTAAGCCACCGGGGAAGGAGCTACACGCGCGTCATCATAAAGGAGAACGAAAAGCCCGGATTTCAAAAGAAACACCGATTTAAAACAACACCAACTTTCCAATTAAAAGCACAAGAGAGTCTTTCTTATCCGAGATCACCGCTCCAAGGTGTCAATAAGAAATCAGGCCACTGACCGCGCTCTTTCGCCCGCCCCAATCACGAGTCCTCAACGAGAAAGAGAGCAACATCCCTTAAACGCGCGATCTCGTACGTCGGCGGAGTCGTCGATCCAGCTGGACGTCCGCTTGCCGCCTCTGTCATCTTGCGATCCCGATGAACGCGGCCCGGGTAACGTCCTAGGAGATCCGCCAACGCGCCGGTCGCCGCGTGTCAACGTGTCGTGTGCTCCGAAAACGGACGGAGGCGCGACAGCGAGGAAGGACCGGGAAAATGGACAGCAAACGAAGCGTTTAGCGTGCTCTCGTACGGCTGTAGGTGCGCACGGTCGACTGGCGCGCTTTCATGACGCCTCACCCGGTGCGGGCCGACCACCAGGGCCAACGGGACCTCGCTTGCTCTCTCAACACTCCACTCGTGGCTACGACCGCGGCAGCGCCAGGCTAAGCCGCTCTTCGGCTTCGCCTCTCACTCCTACCACCCCGTCGGGCAACCTGGCTGTCTTTCCATTCCGATTCTGGCTCTCTCTCCTATCCGCTTCGTCCGTCTTCCTCGCTCTCTCGACCTGGCCTGCTCCGGCTGGTTATCCAACGCAGCCGCCATCACTACTGCATCCGCTGCCTCGAACTCCCACCAACTGTCGGTCTGCTTTTCCCTTCTGGTTGTCGCTCCCTCTCACTTGCTCTTATTGCATACATTGTATAAATGTACCTGGTGTATGTTATGTACGGACAAGAATAATTTGGTTGTGTGCGAGGGAGCTCAGTAGCGTAGCTAGAAGATGAAAATACATGTTGCGAGTGAAATAATGAATAAAACTCGTGAATGTGTTTTTTTATTATTTCCGCGTATTGAAATCCTGATACGAATGATCCGTAATTTATTATGGCTGCATCTAATTTCATTTTTTAATGAAGCAATCTGCTGGTAATTGTTTGTTTTTTTCCTAATTTTGCTAAAAGTGCTAAAAGCGATCTACAATAATAAAATATGCAAATATAGCATAAGCATAATGGGAGCGTGAAACATGATAGATAATGTTTGCCTTTAAGAAATTTTTTTAAAAGACGGAGAATTTTATTTTTTAAAGAAGAATGTTAAAGAAAGATATATGTTATTTATTTAATGTTGTTATCTTGCTAATAACTATAAAATTGTTCTAGTCATTAATCTTTTTTAATTCATTTTTAGCCATCTAGTCTTTTAGCCTAATGTGAATATCGTTTCTTTTACTACGAGTAGTCTCTCAGATACCAGAATCTATTTCAATTGTGACATCTAATATGAAGATTAGAGGGACAAAATATCTAAAATCAGTGGGAAGAAAATATATTTAAAAAATATTTTCAATTAAAATAAAATTAAGAATGTAATTCTTATAATTCTATAATTCTCTGCTTTCTCCATGCTTTAAAAATTAAATTATTCTATGTAACTAGAGAGAACATTATTATAACTGATATGTTTAAAAAGAATTAATTTTATTTTTAAGAAATTTATTTATTGCAAAATAATATTTGCTTGATAGATATGGTAAATATATGACAATCGATAGCTTCCATTTCTCAAGTGCAAAACGCATTGCACGTGTCAATGTCAAACGATAGATGGGGAAGGCTCCCATAGACCATGTCAATTCCACGCGATGGTATTTAAATGGATGGCGACGCCGCCTCCTCGGATCTGGAAAATCCCGAATAACACCTGTGATTTCACAGCCATGTTGACATCGTGCAGCGCCTTCCTTTATATCTTCTTTTTCTCCGGGTAACATCATTCCCCGCCCTTCCCTGACGTATCCGAAGTAAGGTGAGACCAACACACGTGCATCTTCGTTCGCTCGTGCGGACACGTCGCGTATACTTATTTTACACGTACACACGCATAAAATAACGACTACATGTACATCTCCTGTTTCCTTCCTCTCGACCGTCAATTCCTGCTACAGCCTCCTTTAACCCTCACCACGCTTCGCCGTTCCCCCGCGGCCTTTGCCCTCCACAGCATTGTTTCTGAGCCGACAGTCGCCACCTGATACACGCGCGCGTGCGCGCGCACACGTGCGTACGGACAACGTGTATTGTGTGCGCACACATGGACAAATTTCTATCGGTGTATCATCTTATTCATAGAATGTTGTTGCTCTCCCACACCTATACAGATATCGCTGTGAGTTTCCAAGTCAGAGACGTGGTTAGTGTAATTAGTCCTTTGCTGTAGACAAGAATAAGAGTTAGAATTTATAATTACGCGCTTTTAATATTTACTTCGAGAAGCCAATACAGAAGACGGAAAAATCGATAACGTGACATCTTAAATATTTCATTCTATTGGTGGAATTTTTATTTCTCTTACAACGAAGGCATGCGAGTATTGCAAATAAAGGAACATTTCAAATTTTCTATATTATTTTTTCTTAAAAGCAATTTAATACGTGACTTAGCAACTTGATCAATATTAAAATAATAAGTCAGCCAACTGTCACTTAGGTGTAGCACGTAGAAAATATGCTCTAGTTTACGTCATCGGAGTCACGTTACTTTCACCGTATTCCTGATGTATCTTCTGGTATAAAAATAATGAATGCAAATAGATTTGAAAGAAAAGTCGCAATAAATTGAAACATTTTTTTCTGTGTAATAATTTGTAAAAAAATTTTTACAAGGATTTAGAGAAGACTATATTAATTGTAAATGCGACTATATATAAACTACATTTGTTACAATAACGTTGTATATTTTTTTTCAAAACTGAAGATCATTTTTTAAAACTGCATGTAGGCAAAATCTACATGATAAATGTAAAGAAATATAGTATGCGACACGTAAGAATCTATTTTACATTCTATCGTTCAATTTTTATAAACAAAATGGTCGCGTTAGTGACATCTATTAGCGAGCCTCATCATCTTCTATTATGGCAACTGTTGGTTGAAGAACGCAAGATATAAAAAGGAATATCTATAACTTTAATTGGTTCATAATCAAAGCTCTCTTTTTTAATAGTAATAAAATAGAATATTAGTGATTTATAAATTTTTCTTCTACATTTGTTCTACATTTGTCTTCAACGCTTCTTCTTTAACAGCCAACGGTAAGAGACACTCTCTTATGATCCAGAATAAACGCGACGATCAATGAAGCGATTTCGTCATTTTTGTCAATGACAACTAACTACGTATATTTGACTGCCCACGCGTTAAAGAAATATGCATACCTGTGACAGAATAGCGAGGGCAAACTGACGTCAGCAGCAGGTTGAAGTATCTTTTGTCATCTTTCATCTCTCCTCGACATGACGTCATAGTCCGCAGTTGGTCTGCAAACCTTTTAAGAACAGCAGCTATTCCTCTCAACACAACTCACCAATCACAAGAAAAAATAATCCGTACATTAATTCTTTTTTTTTACGTTAAATGCATAAAAAGAAACATAAAAAAATACAATTGTACGAATATAACAATAATTGTATTTGTAAATATAATAGTTAAATAAAATATATTACTTTATAATATTATCGATAATAATTACCAGAATAATATTTATCTATAATCTTATTTAATAATTTAATTGTAATTTTCTTTATATTTATTTATAATATTTTTAATAAAAATATATATTAATATAGAAAATTATATATATATATATATATATATATATATATATATAAAACAAATTTTTTACTTAATTATTTACCAGTGACATAAATTAATATAATTTAAATGTATGAATTTTGTAAATATATTGTATTCAATGTATAATATTGAAGACCTGCAGAATGTTTTTTAAAAGTGCATATTAACGAATTGATTATGAATCAATTTATATCTATCTACTTATATAACTTGATATATTATCATTAAAGCATTCTCTAGATTTTATTATTACCATAATGATTACCATAAATGATTTCTAGAATAATATAGCAGTTACAAGGTTATAATAATGTGAGCGAAAGGAAATAAATGATGTAAGCAAGAATTTATATAAAAGTAATGCAAATTTTGCGAATTTGATCGGACAATCTGCGAATTTTTGACGAAAATTTAATCAAGTACATCCGCATATTCTATTAGTTCTATTACAATATCCAAATTGATAAAAACAATTGTTAAACTATTTTTATTTTATACTGTTATTTAATTGTATCCTGCAGTTTAAACTGAAATAAATCTGAAACTTTTATTGTAATAAAAATCATCGTTGATCTGATCTTGAATCGATTGGACGTTGGGCTGAACATTTCGTAATATCGATGATCTCTCGATCTTGGAGCACGACGATCGAAGGTTTCTACGGGTCGGGGACACCTAACAATTCGCGATCCATCGCGCATGCGCATGCCCTGGTCCTGTCTACCCACGACGGATTCTGGCGAGCAGCGCAGCAAGTGTATGTAACCAGTCCTGGACGGACGGTCAATCCGGTGTCTTGTGAACCACTCGCTCGGTCAGGATTGATCGATTGAATCCGACGCGTGAGCAAAGTCGCCGGGAAGAAAACGAGACGGAGGAAAAAAGTGATCTAGCCGGTGTGCAAATTTCGGATTACCCTTTTCTCGCGAGGTAAGAACGGTAACATTTTATAACATTTTTTTTCAGACTTCTCTGGTCGGAAATATAATTTTAATTCATTTTGTTTTATGCCCAAATTTGTTTAGTGTATTACATGTTTAAGTATTTCATTAAATATATCAACTTTGCAAAAAGTATTTGTCGAATTGTATAAAAATGTGTCTAAACGTATAATAAATATCTAAACATTTTTAAATTGATAGCACATAGTCATAGGATGCATTATCTTACATAAAATAGAAACAAAAAATTAAAAAATTATTGCACGAATATAAATCAGGAGCGCTTAATAATAAAAAAATATTTTTAAACAATCTGGACGTGACCATATTGTAAATAAATTGAATTTACTAGTTAACGCAAATTAACGGCGTCAGAATCGCCAATTAACATTAATTATCTCAGGATAGACCTGCCCTTGCAATTATGTCTGTTTGTATTAAATTACTATTAGTACACTGGTCGCCGCGCTATCGGCTTCATGTAGCAATTAATCTTCCGCCACTGAAAATGCCTCAGTGCCTGTGAATGACTGCAAACAGCGACCGTCATTATGCCGCACATGTCATTGGTTAACACACCATGATTTCTGATATTGCCAGGATGAAAAAAGTTTACTTTAACTCGGTAATTGTTCATAATTCTCATTCCAACTTATAACGTAGAATAATTTAGTGCATAAATTTATTCTTCTCTGAAATTATATTATATATTACACTAAACTCTCTTTTACAAAATTTTTATATATGTGAGAAATGTTACTTTTAAAATAAAATTAAAATAAAAATAAATTAAAAATTATTATGATGATTTTATAAATCTGATCTTATATTATTGTAGAAGTAGAGGCGAAAAATTAAAGATATATTTCTATGTTTATGTATGAACATTAAATATAAAGTTTGAAATTTATATTACAAACTTTTTCTGCAATCAAATTTCTGTTATCAAATTAAAAAATTATAACATATGAATTTTTTTTTAACAATTAAATTTCAGTTTTGTATGTATTTATTGTAAACTGTATATAAAATATTTTACAATTATTTCATTAGGATTAAAGTATAATTTTGCAAAATAAATTACTTTAATATAATATAGGAAATCAATCAAATTTTCTTTGATGAGAACCTCCTCTAAAATTTAAATTTTCAAAACGCAACAGTTTTATATGGAACAGTTTGATACTAATTACTAATCCGCAACGTTAACTGGAACTTTTCAAGCATACGTAATATGGTAAGCAGATGATTGGAGATAGGCGGAAGGTCGAATCCCACTTTCAGTCTTCGCGGATCTCTCAGCCATGTTAGGTGCGTTTTAAAGACCGCTCAGAATAAATAACGATATGCATAATTCATGCGTCACTAGGAACGTTACAACGTTCATTAAGAGCTTCTCGTAAGCGATGCATTATACATAAGAATAACATTCAAGAATAAACGGAAATTCTTTGACACAGACGACAATATTTTATCCGAGTTATAAACTATCTCATCTTCATTAACATGATGTTTAATTAAGGAAAAAAGATAGAAACGATTTATTGAGATTTGAAATAAAATCGTAAGTCTTGAAATTTCTTGCCTTCAATATACTGCTTCTTTTGATTTATCTCTATCGGCGTTATTTGACGGGCGGTATATTTTTGCAAAAAACTGACTTGTAAGAAAATAAATGAGCCAAATTTGTGCAACTGAGGTGAGAAAAAATGAGGACGCGATACGATGAAAGTAGACTTAAAAATAGGCGCAAAGCCAAAAACATATTGGCTCGTGGTTTATAAAGCTTCTTACCATTGCATGGGTTGGCGCTCCAAAAATAGAGCCGTATATTTTTTGTCATTTTTTTATGACGTTCAGAGAATCAGTAAATTTTAATTTCATAATACTGATTGTGAGATGTTGGAACTCTGTCGAGATAAAATTTCCATACAAAAGTTAATTAAAATATAAAATAAAAAATATGAACTCTCATATTTTTATACACGTATAAATCATTACGGATACGAAGCAGCAGCTGTAAACAGTTAATGGCAATCACGTGCGCAAATTTTATCTTGGCATTGTGTAGACGCCAAAATTCACGGTGCGTTTGTACACGTTTGCGAAATAGCATTAACAAGCAATCGTCAAAATGCCATTAAAAATCAGCTATTCACGTAAAATGCGCCGATGGCAGAAAATCTGTTGGTCGGGATGTAAATAACGGCATAAAGGTGGATGGGTTATATTTAAACTGGTTAAACAAAGAACGGGGAACGGCGGCGGACGAAGAAAGAGATGTAAAAGAGAGATGAGATGAGATGAGATGAGATTCCCCGGGCGCCAGTTGGCTGGACCGTTGCCACCCACGTGATGTCAAATGTCATCCTCAAATTTATTCAAGATTGAATTTTGTATTTCTCCTTATCTTTCGTATGTGCGTACACGCGTAACGTTAGTAAATGACGCAATTTATTAAAGTCCCGACAAATTGCCGAAAAAGATACTTCTCTTAATATTTTCTTCAAATTCGTTAAATATCTTTTACGACAAAACTAATTTAACTAAAGATAAAAAAACATGTTATCAGTGTTACATCTTACATTTCTTTTTTAGTTGTATTTAAAAAAATTTTTTAAATTTAAAATTAAATAACGTTACATTTAGCGAACTGCAATCATATGTACTGTACTATTTCGATCAATCTTCTAGTTGTTAAGAAAACTTTTGTTTTTATCAATGATTATCGACATATACAAAATACTTAGACGTCAAGCAAACGAAAATTTTTCTTTGAATAGGTATCGTGAATTTAATTCACGTGCATATAATCGACAGTAATATCACGTTTCAATTACATACGAATTATACCAGTTCAAAGTACATAATACGGTGCAAGAATTTAAATCGGTAGTTTTATCGATACCACATCGAGCATTGTAAGAAAATTTGTCAATAAAATAAAAATCATAGAACTATTTAAATATAAATTAACTCTTAAATTCGTAGAATCATTTTGAATTTGACAACATCCATAAAAGTACTATAACTATGAAATTGTTCGGAATCGTATGGAAAAATTGTTTTAACCATAAAATCCAGAAGAGAATGCTGTATCTCTCTTCGTACAGTACTTTTATCAGTATCGACAGATTTCATAAATATTTCATAAATGTTTTTGACGTGAATATCAGCGAAAAAAAAAACATTTCATTGATATTTCCGAAATTCAATGAATACTCAATGAGAGAAACTCATTCCATAGGATGTGTGATATTCATGTTTACAGTCGTTTGCGCAATTGTGTTGTGAATGCAAACACAGGACTTTCTCCCGTTGACACAGTTGTAATTCTGTATCGTTTATATGTTTTCACCACTCTGTACACTATATAATCATTCCGCAATTAATAGTAGCAGACATCAGACGCCAGATTGTTGTATAATATATATATATATTTGTACATATTATATCAATTATATGAGACAGAGTAACACAGACAGTGTGTGTAGGACAGCGTATTTGTACCGCAGCATTACAGAAGCGTTGCGATGCATCGGCATACCGGTAGCAGTAACGACGTAACATAATCACGTAGTTGCAACACGATCTGCTATAGTATTTAGAATAGTAATGCACTTCTTCGAAGTGCTTTTCTTCTCAGAGTAATTATTTTCAATGATGTAGATTCATTTCTATCGTTGTATTCACGACATTCACACCCTTTTATAACTTCGTTAGGATTTAAAATATTTTCACTCTTTATAATAAAATGTTATTTTTTTTAATAAAGCATTGTTAACATTGATACACAATCGGGCGTTTTGGATTTTGATAATCTTGACTATTGCAATGTATAATATATATAAATCACTTTGTTCGGAAGTATTTCACTATTTGACAATCAAATTTCTTAGAGACGAAAATATATGATCTCGTAATCTTCCGACATGATTTGTTTCATTTACAAATTGTAAACATCAACGAAAAGCTCTTGTCGTGTTGAAATAGAGCATGTGAGTCACAGATTTGTTCTTGCTCGTATAATGCGCTTAAAAGTACTTCTTATAGCGATGCCAGCGCAATCAATCTAATTTCGAATTGGCAACAAGATAAATGTTTCTATTGCTTAATTTTGTACGCTTATTAGCTCTATTTCATGACTTATTTTAATTTCTACTCTTGCTTAATTTTATGACACTGATTTTGAAAACCACGTTTTTTTATAATCCGAGAAAATAATTAAAAATAATATGGAAGATAATTAAAATTATTTTAATATTTGTTATATTACTTACGTTAACGAAAGTGATAACATTTAATTTTTCAATCTTTAAATTTTATTAATGTGATTTATAGATAAAAATGTATCGCGTTTTTTTTAGCCAACAAAAAGAAGTGTATCAAATTTCTTCTCGTATCGACGTCGTGAAATCAACTGCGAAATTTTGCGGTGCAAACGATTCTTCCCTTTTGTTTCTCTTCCACCCGCTGCGCGCAACCTCTTTATGTTTAAACGAGACGAAAGTGATTGCGCAAGAATCGCGATCAGTAACGCGCAGGTGCATTCTGCAAGCTGAAATTATTACACCGACTCGGTGGCCAAGAATATATTTGCGCGCGTGCAAATTAGATTCACAATTAAAAGGCCGGGAAAACAAAGCATCGCGATTAGGGGGAAGGATGCGAGAGATCTGCATTTATCGGGTCTTAAACACTGACTCGAGCAGAGTCAGGATTAAGGCAGCCTTCTTGGAATCAAACGAATCGCAGTCATCGTCGTTTCGATTGACACGATAACCTTGGAGGGCACGATACAATGTCACTGACGATGACCGGTTAACTATCTGCTTAAAGCAGTTACATCGTCCGTTATCAGTGGCGTAACTGTGATTGACAATGCACGACCGCCAGGAAACCATTTCGAATCTAGGCATTCTGATTGTATTATTTAAAAACGGTTTATTCACTTTATCATTTCTATAAGCATGTGAGCGCCAAAGCATTATATATTTTGTAAATATGATTCAGCCAACGTTATTATGACAAATTAATTTTTTCGTACAATTTTTTTTCTATCAAACAACCCGTTCATGTTTTAATTACGCCACTGCAACCGATATTGCTCCGGGCCGATCAAGTAGTTACGTGTGCTCTATATTAAATAGGAATGACGCGTACTTTGAAGTCAACTTATAACGCCGTCTGAAAATGAAATTGTGCAATAAAATCCGAGAGTATGAATGGTCTCGTTATCATCTTTTTTGCTCTCAGCTCCTTCACAAATTCAACTGACTACTGAAATTACGCATATATGTATTTATAGACGTGTCACAGAGAACCGTAACTATTTTTGGTGATATGTTATTATAACAAATAAAAATTATGATACAAATATAAAACTTTTGCACACTACTTGTTACGATGTTGATATGTACAAGTTTCATATACATAACATATATTTTTTTGTAATATAATGCATCTACTTTATTAAAGTTCGAAATAATGTATGTGCTGTCATTGTTGATATGTTTTTCCTGGGACTGTCTTTAATGGTAATCTTGATAATACGAATGCGGCAGTCATTAAGACCTCGTATATCACAATCAAAACGATATTTGTCGCACAGGCATACGCACAATACTGTAATTGACCTTGATCTGCATTTATCTGGCCTTGGACCAATTTGCCCAACTTGTCTCCAATAAGAGACGCCTGTCATTACCAAATTTGGATCGCAACTCCTTCCTTTTTTTCTCATATTACGATTGATACAATCAGAATTAATTGTCGCTAGAATACGCATTCCTTAGAAACGGTCTCACCGACACCAGTTTCGAGATTTTGGAGGAGATCATGAATGTATGAATGCGTACCTCTTTAGCTGCCGATTCTTGGAAGGTCTCCTTGGCCCCCTGGCCTCATTCGCATTGTGCCTCCACCGGAATAAGTATGAGACCATTTGGCATTTCCACTGATTTAGTTCCCAGACTGATCTCATCCCTTTATCCAGTATCTTACATGTTTTGAAAGCATCAATTTTCACAAAACTCGACATTTTATTGTTCTAACATCGTTTTCTAAAATACAACACGGTGATATTTTATGCGGAATGTAAAACAATTCAAGATTTATGCATTTTTTCCTCAAAAATATTTTGTCAAATTGCCAATGTACGTTAAGAAACTGCTTTTACGACAAAGATAATAAAAATTGTGCATGCACGACGGAAATTGGGAACTTACACCCATTCGGACCTAAAACTGGCTAGCCTGGTCACGGTTGCCGCGCGAGTCTTGTAAACCGGCTTCGAGTGGTGCGAAAGTTTCTGCGAAAGTCCATGGCTCTCTGCAGAGATCCGAATCCTAATATCAATTCTATTTATAACTCCACACTTCTATAAGTAGCGCGTTGCAGTAATATCCGTCCGTGTTGCCGTCGTTCCAGTTACTCGGTGCTGCTCCAGAGATCTTATCGTTATCCGATAAATATTCACAATGAGACTGATTAATGGATAGGCTACAATAAAATTAATTGAGACGTCAATCAAGCCATCCGCGTTACCGCGTTACAGATTTCGTGAGGCAGGGCTTAAGAAGAACACAATGTCAGCAGCCGTGAGGGAGCGAACGACGACGCACACCAGCAGAAAGCTCGTGAGTCATGGCGGTCCTATATCTGGCCAGAGAGACGGGGCAGCCACGGCCAGCAGCCTCGAAAACAACTTGGGTAAACCTTTAAATGTGCCACCAGAGCTGTAACCTTATCCATCCGTTTGTTCGTTTCCGCTCGTCTCTTTTTCCGTCGAACGAGCCCGCGATCATTTTACTTGCGATGTTTTTCGTATTTACTTTTTAGGGATTGAATAAATATTACGCGGGCACATCGGCATAATTTATCAAACTTTTGACGATGTAGTATATAATTATCTTGAATTCTTCTCTTTGCTGCTAGTAGTATTCTTGATAGTAACATAGTAGATAATATTCTTGAGATAAAGTTTATGTAGTGCGTTTAAATTTGCATCTAAAAAACCGATATAACCAGTCCAATGTAGAGTTGAATGTGATAACATTTTAATTAAGGTTGATCGTAATCGTTCAGATATACTTGGATTCATCCCTTCTCATTTTTAGTTCTCTCGTTAAAACTAATCAAAAAACACCGACCGACGACGTGTTAAATTGATTCATTTGGCTCTTTCAGACGCACTCCTCGAGGATTTGCAGACGAGTGTCTCGAGAAGTGCCACTCCTAGCCGAGACAGAGCACACTTGCCCCAAGTCGAATATAGGGTAGCTGCCAACCCCGCCAGAGTGATCTCCGAGGGCAGGTGAGGGAACAAGTTTGACGACAATCTGCAATGGCGCATCTCTTATGCGAATAAGATTTAGTCACATGTAAAAGTGCGTTATATAATAAATATTCGGAATAAAAATGATTTTTCAGATCCATGTCTCCATCTCGTTCGAAGGTGACTACCACCGAAAAGTTCGTCAGTTCCGGTCCGATTGGCACGACAAGCGGTATACCAGGATTGGAACAACTAGAGTCAGAATTGCAAGATGTAAGTTTTTAAATTAAAATAACGCATTATTGAAATATAGACAAATTTATTTAATATCGCATTGTCACTTCATCAAAAAAATAAACGTACAGTCCCGATTAATTAAAGTTCATAGAACATATGAAATATAAAAGTCGAATCTAAAGTGTGAGTTGTAGTTTCCTTATTATTACTTGAGAAGAATGGATATTAGCCCGGGGATAAAATCTAGGAACAGGAATGAACGGTAATTCTGGCACGCATCGGATGAAATCATGTCGATGTCGACGGTGCTGGTTCTTAAACACAAAAAAAGAAGAATGCGTTGCGTGATTAATGCATGCAAGAAACTAGTTTCGCACACCGCCATGCGCCCTTGCCGAGATCGCTGGATGTGCTGTTGAACAGAAAACGACTATTTCGATTGTCTGACGTTAATTAAGTGAGGCTACTTAATGGCACAAAATTCTCGCTACAACTCGCTCGTACTAACCAAATAAGAAGCAGAAATTTAACCACACCACCTATATTATTTAACTAATATACAATTTTCTCAAGATTGTCGAGTCAGGAAAAATTATGATATTTCAATTTAATCGATCTAAAAATTTATTTATTTTTTCTAATTTCGAACGAATGTAAAATTATATTTTCGTGCCCAATATACACACAGCTTTTCTACTTGAAAGTTAAAGCATTAAAATCTCACCCAAGGAACGGATATAAAGTATCAATTTATTATATATTATATTTACTGCAATAAAACGTAGATTAATAGAAAATCGATCGGCATCAGTAAATCATACTGCTTGTCCATTTATCAGCGACATTATTATTAACAGCGGATCTACAACACCCGCCGTACTATATAAATCAGGCGCAATAGATTGTTAGACGCAAAGTATGAAATCACTTCTAACGTTAACATTCACTGAGCTTTATGCGTCCCGCTGGACGCTGCGGCTCCAATTATACGCCACGCAGATTGCATCGTTCACGTATTTGCCCCCGGGTTGCAAATGCCGGTACAACCAGCGAACGTTCAATGTTACCTCTCGCTACGTTAGACACACCATGAGGAATAAGCGAGATCATTTTTATATTTGAAATCGCGTCTCTCGCCATATACACATGTATCCCTGAGAATCGATTTAGCATTAAAGCAAAAATAATTCGTTGGTCCTGTAATTGCACTATAATGGTCGCTCGCGCAACTGTCTAATTTGAAGCCAAATTATGATCGCTCGATGACCGTAATTACGCCACTCCCTCGCTTTCGCATTTATCCATTGACCTTTGGCCTTCACGCGAAGTTTCGAAGGTGCTTCAATAAATGAGAAGAATAATGGCTCAAACAGCAAAATGTGGATATAAAAATTATAATTTACTTTCCTTTTCCTTCAGTTTATTATTAATTTCCTAATATATATACAACAGCACATATCTCTTGCGATATCGGTAAAGCTTAGAATTTATATTCTAAGTAATTTAAATGCACGATGGCGTGACTGTTCACTTTCTAAAATACTTACGAATAACGAAATATTCCTCATAGATCTTTAATTTTGACCCGGTCTTTTGGCCAGGTAAAAGAGAAAATGGCGAAACGCGTTAAAACGTTCTGCTCGGTAATGGTGTTCCGGTCAGCCATGTAATTGTAGTAATAATATTACCATTTTACGCGATATATTGAACATTAGAGCATCACGGCGAGGCATAGAATCAGTCTTGCGTGTAACGGGGGCCCCGAGGTAGGTAATTGCAGCGTTCGCTGGTCGTATGGCTTGTAATCCGACGTTCAATGAAAATAAATTGGTTTGCTCTTACACTCCTTGCACACCAGCCGGATATCTTCAAGCTAATGGGCTCTAAGATCTTTAAGCGACGTCTATCGTCATCATCAGGAACGGTAGAATGTAACGAAATAATAATCTATAAAATTCCCACACGTCTCATTTACATATTCTTAGAGTTTGTGAAATTACGTGTTGAAGTTCGATCGTAACGCACGAAGTAGCGCGTGCATATATTACGTATATTAATAAAAAAAAAGTAAAAATACAAAAATTACAATTTATCTGCAAGATAAAAATAGTTTATTTCGGTACTCCAGTAACTTTATTGCATAGCTGCATTTCGAACAATCATTGGCCGTGAGTCGATCCGCGGAATTCAAATGTTGTTACCGATCCGCCCATGCCTTACACCGTGTGGGACTGTAATCAAAGTCTTATAAGGAGAGTCCGGTGCTGATACTGCCCACGCGTTGCTCGCACTAATTCGTTACGATCGGATCGTTGCTATAAAAACGGATGACCTGAATGCCTATGCATACTTAATGCGAGTTTCTGCATTCGTGTGACGTTCATCCTCTTCTTGCGCTCGCAGGTCCAACCCGGTCAGACCAAAACGGTAGCCTACAAGCAAGTGTCGTACCACTACAACAAGGATTTGGACGGGAAACCAGGTGGGGAAAAATCTACATTTTTATCAAGTTATGCACACACGAGTAACTTAACAAATATGTAATATATATTATAGTTATGTAATATTATTGTGCGCCATTCGAAGTGTGTGCGGCATCTCGTAGAGTTTAGCGTACTGTCGCTGTGGCAAAGCGGATTCCTATTGAATTCCTTGAATTAACTGAGACGAGTAACACCGCGGGGTCGCGGTGAATAGTATACGCGAACGTGAAACGATCAAGGAAGGGGAGCCGGTTGCTCGTGTCACGCCTTTTAAGGCGCGCGACGGCCTTGCTGGTTTACGGTTAATTGATAATGAAAAAATCGAGAGAGGATCGAATTTGAGCGTTATTCGCATCTTCGGCGCGATTCTACCACGTGAAGAATATTATTATATATAATGCATAAAGCGAGTGGAATCATTTATATCTTAATTGTCGTTGCTTTCAAAAGAAAAAAAAAACAGAGACTAAAGTGCCAAAATCATGTTGTCAATTTTCATAAAAATATAATATCATTTCCAAATATTTATGTACGTGCGTGAAAGGTTTTTAACGCAAATGAAAAATTTGGCAAATATAATGTTGAATTAATGAATAAAGATTTAAATTAGGACCTCAACAGATTCGGTACATATATTTTTATACATGCGAAGCGGCCATCCATCATCCATTATTAACCGTTTGGAACTTTTTTTCGTGCAACTATTACGTTTTTTCAATATTATCATTAAATTTCATTTACACCACAAAAATCTTTTCAAGTATATTCGTTTGAGGCATCTTCGTCAAATGTGAAAAATAGGAGGGATCTTTTCGAAACTTTATTCATCTCCATTATAAAGAAGCATGTTGGAAGCAAGAAGGTCTTCCTTGTATCTCTGTATTTGGCAGAGACGGCACACGGTCGTAGCTCATGTTCTTTGCGGTCACGCATAACACACAAGCGTAGCCATATTAGGGCCGCTTATGGCAGAAGGCTGACCCGATTTTCTCGTGTCTCCGCTGCTCTCCCGAAAGAAACGAATGAAAGGTAAGAGAGAAAGATTTCCTCGCGGGGGAGGCGTAGAGCTAGCTAGAAGATAAACACGAGTTACTATACTGGAAGGACAAGGACGACTGTTGGTGAGCATTCACTGCTGGAAGAGTGGTTACGACTCTCATAAGATCAAATCGACAACGTAAAACGTCGCAACTTATTGTCCCTCTATTATTTCAAGCACTTTAAAAATTGACGCTGATTTAAGACTTTTTATTGCGCTGTTCTTCTAAATTCATTATCGCGTTTTTGACAATCACAATGATAACACACTCGATGATTTATTGTTTCAGATTCATGGGGCATATCAGAAAGCAAACAGCCTCTCACCGCGCCCTTGATGTGAGTACACAGTTCCGCTTCTCATAAGTTCCAAAATACCTTCGTTTTCTGAATGGATGCCAAGAGACTCGGTCGCGTAACATATATTTTCCGTTAAAATAGAAATAAACTCATATTTCCCAATTGTCTATAATTTAGACATGAAAGAAATTTATTGCAGACGACGCGAATGATTCATCTACAACTATTTTTATATATAACTATTAAAATTTTGAAATGTAAAATGTAAAATTAAATATCTGCAGGGACGACATTCATGAAAGAACTTACGAGGAAACTAAAACTCCAGCGATTCCATACACATATCAAAGTCCAGAACCGATTATTAAAAAATCAGCGGTCAATAGAGAATTGGTGAGCAAAATTATATTATTACAAATATTTTCAAACGTCGACTCATCGATGTTTTTTAAGTAACATTAAGTAAAATGGATAGTCTATTAATGTAATTATATTTATTAGGTTTATGGCGACAGCTCATCTCGTTCGAAACAGACTTCCTCTCAAAGCATGCAAGAATACAAAACTGGGTACGGAGTTCCGTCACCAAGTCCATCGATACCGATCAATCTGGCGCCCGGACCGAACACAAAGGTAACCACCACCATTAAGACGTACACCTACGAGCTACCGGGAGCACCGGAGACATATCTACCAGGTAACAGCGGGCCAGGGAGTGTCATGCTGCCCAGTGATCAGACGATCACGTACACCCTACCGAGGAGCACCACAGACAAGACAGTCACCTATCAAACCGTGACGGAGAATGTACCGGGACATCCTGGTACATCGAGATCGCCGACCGATATCACCGAGAGGTCCAAAACTATACACAAGGAGTCGAAGTTTTATCACGAGGACCACCAGCCCTCCTATGCTTATCGCAGCGCTCCGCCGACGGAAACCAAGACCACCGTGACCGAGAAGTATTACCATGTCGACGGTTACCCTAATGGCCATGGACCGAGCGATCGTGCGGATTATTCTGGCAGTACGACTATATATCAAAATCACCCGCCTGCCGTAAGCGAGACGCACACCAGGACTATTAACCGATACGAAGAATACAGATCTGGCGGCGGACGTTATCCCGACAAACCTGGCACCCCAACGAAAACGACTTATTATCCGCGGCAGGACACACCGCCCGGCACGACGATCTACAAATTCTCGAATACCACGACGACGGTACCGCCGAACAAGTACGCCGACGACCACGAAGTCCTCCTGCCGAGACCGTTTCCAACTGGTAAAGCGTATCCTGCTAAGCCAATCGCCAATGGCGAAGGGCCACCAGCGAAACTGGAGGATCTCATGGCTTCGTTCTCTGATTCTGAGGTAAAGTAATTGATACTGTTATTATTTTATTATAATATATTTTTTTTTTTGTATAATAACGGTCCTATGTATGTATTTTGTTCGTTCAGCGAGAGGTATTGGATGATATAGAGAGGCATGAGCGTCGGAGCAAAAAAGAAACAAAGAAAGAAGTTGATTTTGTCCCCCATACACCACCGACAGTCAAAAGCAAGAATGTTGCTGGGCCGCCGGTCTATTATCCTCCTGGTTCGGCAGAATTCACCAAGAAGGAAGAAGCTAGCGTAGCCATGTCACAATCTGGCGTAAGATTATATATATCTTTATTCAAATATTCAAAGTTATGGTACAGAATAGTTCCAAATTAGCGATATCTTATTAATCTTTGTACTAATTTTTTTTCAGGGAGGATGGGAAAAGGCCAGCGGAAAATACGAATACGAGGCTTCTAGCAAAAGTAAAAGCAAAGAAAGCAAGGGACGTGCTGTTGTCCCAGTTTGCCTCCCGTTATGTTGCGCGTTGCCATGCGTCATTATGTAACTTATTATTATACATTAACAAATTAATGAAGCACATGATACACATACACACGCATATACACGATATACATTTGTTATCATAATATAATCAAAGGAAACTAGAGGAGAAATTAATGCAAAAATATGTAGCGTTAGAGCAGAGTTTTATAAATTTCATAATTTTTCCTTGCCAATGTAAGGTTTGTTCACTTAAATTATACGTTATGCTTCTTCTTTTTTCTTTCTCTTTGCCTCTTTAAATCATACATCTATTTCATTTTAAATATCTATAAAAAAATGATTAAAAAAGCAGTTCATATGTGTTAATATTTAATAAATGATATAGATTATGTAATAAGCAAGTAATCAAAACAAATCGTACTGTTACATGAAAATGAACGTCGTTACGCTATGTTAACATATTTATTAATATAGCTGTATTTATAAATATAGCTATTTATTTTCATTTTATTGTTATAAGTATTATTTTTCTCACTGGCAAATTATTAAGAATTTTTAAATGTATTGCAATATAACATTTGCTATAAATATAATGTAATGGATAATACAAAATGTTATATTTAGTGCGTTCTGTATATTTTTCAAATCTATTATTATACATATATTTTATTTGTTATTATGTTTGTATATTTATATACATATACAAACTAAATAATAAAATTAATTAATAGCACATAATAAAATATTTTAATAAATTAGAATTTTTGTGAATATGCAAAGATATTTTTGTATTTTTATTTACATTGCCTGCTGCAATGTACATCTTTAAAAAATCTAAATTATATATCACTACATTGGTAATTAACTATTTAAATTAAATTGTAAAATATTTTTATTTTTTCTAAATTCTTTATAATTGACAAATAAATTTTACTAATTCAGTCATTTTATACGCCAAATATATTAAACTTTAAATTATCCTATAAAGAATTATTTTAAAAAGTGACTTGCTAAAGATAAAAAGATCATGACAAATATTATAACAAGTAGGATAAATAAATTTTAATTATACTATACTACCGTGAATTATGGTGCTATAATAATTTTAGTATGTAAAAAGGAACCATGTGAAATGGAAAAGTATCACTGCGAGCACAATCATGCACATAACATTGTATATGGATCTTCAATATTATTTGTAATTATATGTAAAAATGGTGTCATTTCGTGACATATAACATTTCATTGCATATGTATCAATGTATGATAAAAATAAGTTGTACTTTAATAAATTCACTGATGTTTCTAAATAGTACTTTTCATTCATGTGCTTTGTCTATATACAGTTTATTTCCAGAAAAATGCCTTTTAATAGAAATAAATTGCATATACTATAGCCACGCAAAATATAGTATCCTGAAAAACAACATGCAATTAAGTCAAAAGGAACATAAAAATAAGATATCTGGACTGTATGACGATAAGTCATACACTGAACTAAAACACATTTATCTCCTTCTTACGTTAATGAAACTATCATAGGCATATGTATCAGCTTCTGCATCCCAAATACATCTTGAACCTATTTTTACACCAGCACCGTGTTGTTGTCCCAAAACCACATTGACAATATATTTATATCTCTTAAATTGTAAGTCTGTAAATATATTACAAATAATACAGAAAAGGATAATACAACAAATACTTATATAGGACTTAAAATGTAATAATTGATATGAATTAAAAGTGTGCATATACAAAAAAAAGAGGGATAATACCTTTGATCTTTCTTTCAATAATATCCGCAATATCTTTGGTCCATTGAGCAGCTGCCTGGGCGTCATACGTTTTCGTAGCGAGTTGATCGAACAGCACGTCATGTATTATTTCTTTTGCACTTAGAGGTTTAAACCTATGTTAAAAATGTTTAAATTGTAATTATATCTGTAGTCGAGTTTGAAAAGATGTTAGCTCTCTATGTCAGTTACCCCATAAGTTTCACACTAATTAATAGAATGACTTTTATAATTTTTTGAACGTTTAAAAGCAAGTTATATCATGAATGTGAGAGATAAACTGACATACTTTTCATGAAGATGCGGTCGAATTTGATAAACCGGTTGCTGAGCTGCCTCCTCAACGTCCTCAAGAACTTCCAAATTCACATGCTTCTTTTCTTCCTCCTCCTGTGCTACATCCGCTTCTTGCACCGGGTTATGTTTCATAGAATGCTGCATTCGTTTTGTCTCCGCCATTTATTACATTTATAATAAATTCCCGTCAGATCGTCCTGCTGATTGCGAGCATGCTCGGAGTTGTTTATCTACAATGGCAACCAGTGTGGCAACAATATTAATCGTTGTCAACGGGCATGTTCAACAAAACCAAACATTGAATTGTTTTGTAATACCTGAAGCCAATTGGCTGGATCCTACGATAAATGTCAATCACGTTTTAAATTGCTGCTTACTTAGCAATTGCTCAGCTGCCCCTGTCTGTTGTTGTCTCTGCTCTCTCGCTCACCCAATGAATCCAAACAATCCAGGCTTGCTTATAGATTTTATTACAGTATACACTGATATACACACGTTAGGCTAGGTAGAATTGGTGAGGGGAAAGGTCAAAGGAGGTAAATACTCGGAGAGTATTCTGCGCGCGCATTACCGACAGGAATGACAAAATATGAGATAAAAATAAATGAGTGAAAAAACTAATCATACAAATGTAAGTACACAGTTCTTATCAAATTATTCTTTTAAAAGACAAATAATATATTAATTATTCAACATTTTATATAAAAAAAATTATTACATGTAAAACAAGAGGCACAGTTCTTATCAAATTATTCTTTGAAAAAAAAAAAAAAAAAAGATGATTTAAAATTTTATATGAAAAAATTGCTACATGTACAGCATGAGACACTGTGTCTTATTACTGGAAAACGCAAATATCTATTTACTTTTATATTTATTTTTTCATGATTTTCCATGAAGATATTCTTCAAGCTGCATAGAGTAAAAAATTACCATTAATTGTAAATAAAATTTTATGCATTCGACATTTTACTAAAGATTTTTTTATTGTCCCCCTTTGATTATGAAACAATTTTTAGTTATACTCCATATTAACTGTGATAAGAAATTATGTTAAATGATATAATCGCAAATTTTGTTTATTAATATGTAATCCGTGCATTACATATTTTTATTTGAAAGATACATGATAATAATAAAGTAAAATTATGTATTAATTGATTGATAGAGTCAGTTTTAATTTTCTGATTACACGTCGTGCATATATTTAATTTATTAAAATCCAGACGATTCTGTAGCAGAAGGGTAGAACGAACGCAGTAGTTGACCTCGTTCCTTGTCTATATACAACGTCTTCCGTTTTACCATTATTTCATGTTCAAGGGTGCCTCTTGCCTTGACCAATTCCGCCTGAGATTCCTCAGCGCGTTTTAATTCTGCTAATACGGCAGAGGTCTGTTTGCCAAGTGATTTCACTTCTTCAATAAGGCTGCGTGAAATAAAAATTTTTTGTTTATAAATAATAAGCCGTTTATTAAATAATCATATTCTCTTTTAACGACTTACGCAAATTGAGGTGCATCTCGACAACTTTCAACATTGCGCCGATTTAATCTATTATCTAATCTTGTTTGCGCTAATTTCATGCCGTTGTTTAATCCCTTCGTTGAGCACTTAAGTGTCTCGATCAGCTTTTCTATGTCTGCCAGTTCATGCAAGCACTAAAAATAATTGTTTTTTTTCCACTACTGTTTTACATAATCTTTTACATGTTCTGTCTTTTATTGCATCCACAGATCTTACGCGAAGTAATTCCTGTTCTAGTTGCTGAAGGCAATCTTGTGTCAGTTCCGCATTTTTTGCAAGTGCAATGTCAACACGAGTCGCTTGATCGTGCAGATCTTTAATGGATTTAGCATATATGTCGTTCAAGGTGGATCTTAGCTTTATTGATCTTTGTCTAGTAGTCTCGCCATCGGCTAATACCTCTCGCGTGAAGTGTTCGTAACTCGTGGGAGTTGATTGACTATAAAAAAAAGAAGAAAAATATCGATTATGTAAACTGATTATATAAACCGATCAGAAGTTTCCACGCTGAAAGCAGCAAAGTATTATTCAAACAATAAAAAAAATATGAATATATATCTATTGTTACTATTATCACCGCCATTTCTTATGCTAAAATTTTTCCATTTGCATCGTTCTTTCGTCAGTTTCGCACGTATAAAGTGGCGCAAACTCACTCGGCTGGAAATCTCGTAGCCCCAGCTTTCCACAATAGAAGCGGAGAATCGTTAGTCAAATTCACACACACGGAGTCTAGATTGTAAGTATGAATTTTGTCAGACCAATCGTTCTCCGTCCGTATTTTCGCGGATCTCAATTCGACCATCTGCATCTCGATCTGCTCGCGGATTCTGCTCAGTAGATCCCGTATCTCAGTACAGAGCGCTATTTCCTACAAACGTAATTGATTGAGCGAATTAAGCGAATTAAGAGACGCAGGAAAAACAGTGTTATAATTCGACGCAACGATCCGTGATGTAACCTTCGTGAGTTGCTCCTCGACAGGATCGCGAACGAGATCACAGTCCAAACGAGAGGTGCGTAATTGCAAAAATTCGCTCGCGATCGACAGAGGGATAGTCAGTATCGATAAAGATCGCTGTACACGGCGACGCTCGGCCTCCAACAATTCCATCTCTTCCGCGATAGCCGCGATCGCGTGTTCTAAGTTCGCCTTCCAACCGTACACCACCTTAGCCCGTGTTTTTAAATGTTCCGTCGTTTCCGATTGCGCCTTGTCGGCTGCCGCGTACACTTGCTCCACGCATTGCTTCGCACCCCCAGCCGTGAGCCTATAAGCATATTTTTATTAATATATTGTGACAATATAAACGCCCAACTTTTAGTATAATATTACGGAATCGAGCTCAGAAATCCTTCGCTAGTGGATTCTCGAAATTTCTAAATGCAATTTTAAATAACCACAAATTACGTTTAATTACGTACTGGGCCTCACAGATTCTCTCATTCGATTGCTGAAAGATACTCAAATTGTGCGCGCGCCATTCGCTTGGTCCGTAGCGTGTGATGGAGTATCGATCTGCGACTGGTCTCAAACCCGTTATTCCACCCTCGCGAGAACAGGTTACCTTGCCCGTAGCCCATGGACCAAGAGGTCCCATTGTGTTTTCGGGTTTTGACGGATATTCATCCTCGGACTGAGGTAAATAAAGCGGCGGTTTCTCGGCGGTGTCTCCGCGATCGCATTCGAGCTTCGTCGCAAGACATGGCTGTGCCTTCTAGTTTAAAATTTGTCACAAGTTGAAAACATTAGATTATGTACGTGTGTGTGTGTGTACAATACGCTGAATAAAAAACAATTTTTTTTCTCAAGATGTACACGCCACATTCGCTTTCTACGTCTCGTCTTCTTGAGAACAGCTTATTTACGTATATATTAATGAGGCTTCATTACTGTCATATGCTATAATTACGCGATGTGTATAATTTATGTAAATTAATGATATAAGAAGAACTTACTTCAATTTGTTGATGTAAAACGTGCTGTGGACTATCAGCAGTACAACCATGTTTGTTCGAAATATCCGACATTTCGTAGGATAATTAAAAAAAGCGAAGTGTAATGTATGTATACGTAGTGTTTTATAACTTATATTTTAATATAGATATTCTAAACAGATAGAATACAGTTGAATTGTACATTTACGTGCAACAAAATGCATGAATTTTTGTGAATTTAAGCTGTCGCCCGCAAGCACACCTGATGAACCGGATTTATCGATTTAATACGCACAGCTGGATACGCCTCATTCTTCTAAAGAAGGAATGATGTTTTCAAATTAACCTAAGCCCGTTTGTGTCAAAGAAAATCGATCAGTTTTGATATAAAATATATGCAAGTGACTAAGTTCACGATAATTTTCCGTGATATTTAAATAAATATCTCTACGTAGAAGTGTTTACGTACTTCGAATCGAATACCAAAAATGCATCCGATTAAATGTTTATTAAAAGATAATTACGCAACTCATGAAGGTATTTTTTTGCAGCTTTTATGCAAAAATATTGATAACCTGGAGTTATCCTATCGAAGTTGGGGCACGCGCAAAGATGTCCTACGTAAAAATTTAAAATCTCTCTGCCAACATTCCGATTGCCGAGTCGAACAGTCTAATTATATTATCACTTGATAAAAATTTTCCTGATAAATTCAAACGTATAATAAAAATCGAAAGCATAAATGTACAGTACAATGTTATTCAATAATTCAACTTAATCAATAACTTACGCAACAGATAATATGGAAAAGGAATAAGGACTAAACTATACAATATTCCCAAAATAGACTACTATACTTAGCGGAGTTTCGGGAGGAAACAGAATGCGGCGTATATTCCGCCAACGAAAAATAATTGCATTATTTTCAATAAATCGACTCAGTTTAATACATTAGATACGTGGCATGTTGTAAAATAGTATACAAAGAAAATACTAAAGCGATATCTTTTTTGAGATTAGCAAAAATGACTCTAACTCATTACAAGTATAATGAAACATAGGGAAGAAACAAGATAAGAAAAATAACAAATCTTCAGTTATAGCTATAGTCACTAGCTGTATCGTTTGTATGTTGGCATGTATTAGCAATATTTACGAATGTTCATTATATTATTTTTTTAATTTTATCGTTTGTTTAATAAAATCATAACACCATAATATTTTTCTCTAAATTTTGCAGTCATAAAAATCTGAGGCGGATATAAGTATAGCCTTTGTAGAGTTGAAGCTTAACTATCTTATCACGTGTCGGAAATAATCTTTTAATAAACGATGGCGACATTGACTCTATAAACGCTGCTCAAGCACTTACCCGTCGACTGTTGCCGAGTGCAGACATCGCTGAGAAGAAAATGGCAAAGCAGGTCCAAATTAAATACACTCAAGTAAGTTGATATTTCGTATTGTTTCATGGAATGCGCAACAATTCATTGATTTTTAACATAAAACACATTAAATCGCAATTATTTGAGTGATAAAGATTCACTAATAATCTTTATGTAGTCTACATAAAAAAATTTTTCAAGTGCTATTTAAAGAAAAAAAATATATATAACTTAAAGTGGTTACAAAAACACAAATTTTCAGTTAAAATTGAATTGATTATAAAGGAAAAATAAAAACCGGGACAGATCTAAAACTATGTTGATTTGACTTTTGCTAGCTTTCCAACTCCTTATCACTTCTAAATCAACAAGCTATTGTTATCTCATTATTAATCAAATACTTTTTTTGAAGCTGTTCATCGACAATGAATTTGTGGATGCAGTGAGTGGTCGTAAATTTCCCACAAAAAATCCTGCCGATGGTACAGTCATTGCTGAAATCTCCGAAGGAGATAAGGTATAAAATTATTCACATCAGTTATATTACATACACAAGAATTGCATAGAAGAAAATACAGATAAAATTGACAAGATAATTATATTATATATAGATCCAATGGATCTCCATTTTTTCAATTGTAAATCTTTAATTACAAAATAATTAATATTAAAAATTTTTGTTTGCTAAATCAATAAAAAAATAATAATTCAATATAACACTGGAAAATAATTATATTCATGTAAATGCTTTATAAATCTGAATCAGATTTCCTATATTATTATATTTCCTATATTATTATATTTAAATGCCTGTGATTCTTATTTAAAAATTAAAAAATTTAGGAGTTAAATGGATACTAAACTGAATTTTAAAAAATGATTTGACTTAACATAGCTCAAAAAATTAAATTGTACAATATAAAGTTAAAAATAATTTTCCATTTTTCTCTGACATATGTGACTTGCTTTTATTTATCTGTGATGTAAGATGAGTATTAAAAGGTTATCTTATCATATTATTTGTATTCTATTATCTGTGTTATGTACTTTCATATCAACAAAAAAATATACAGTATTTACAAAAAAAAAAAAAATATATATATAGGTATATATATATTCAAACTAGAAGAAATATATTAATATAATTTTGAGCATCAATTGCACGTCATCATCAAGTTTTCTTCACTTAATGTTTAAATATTAAGAATTAATTAAATTGTAATTTAAAAATTCAATTCTTTTTAGGCTGATGTGGATAAAGCAGTGGAAGCTGCTAAAAGGGCCTTTAACAGAAATTCGAAATGGCGTACAATGAATCCGTATATCCGTGGACAACTTATGCACAAGGTAAAATTTTATGATAGGGAGAGTTCCCCTAACGACGGACAGCGTCTAATACCATTAGCTATGTCTGTAATAGTTGAATCGCTACTGAGCCGTTTTTCCTATTACAGATATAGCTAATATCCGATATTAGCCGTCCATCGTTAGGGGAACTCCCCCTATTAAAGTTTTTAAACCTAATACAAACATTAACTGTATACTAAATATAAATCAATAAAATAGTTCGCAGATCTTGTTACGCGCGATTTAGATTATATCGCCACTCTCGAAACTCTTGATAATGGAAAAACGTATACAAGTGCTGTTGAGGATATTCAATATAGTATTGCTACTCTTCGTTATTACGCAGGCTGGTGTGACAAGATACTTGGAACTACCATTCCAACAGGTAGTTATTTTTTAAACTATCATCGTTTATGAATAATTATCTTATGTACATGTACAGCCACTTAATATGCTACATTAGGTTTCATGATATTATTAATTTCTTTTTATGATATATAACGTAAATTATAAACTGAATGACAGTAAGTAATTTTATTTATTATCTGACTAGGCGACGCTAACGTTACAATGACACGAAAAGAGCCAGTCGGCGTTGTCGGACAAATCATCCCTTGGAATTATCCTTTCATGATGTTGGCTTGGAAATGGGGTCCTGCCTTGGCTGCCGGATGCACTTTGATCTTAAAGCCAGCAGAGCAAACACCTTTGAGCGCGCTTTACGCAGCCGCTCTAGCTAAGGAGGCAGGATTTCCAGCGGGTGTCATAAATGTCATTCCAGGTTACGGTCCAACTGCTGGCGCAGCTATTGCTGAACATCCAGAAATTCGTAAAGTCGCCTTTACTGGATCCACCGAGGTATTTACATTTTATACAACATGGCCGTATTGATAGTAATGTATGTATATAGATATAAATCATGTTCCTTCTCTAGGTCGGACATTCCATAATGATAGCTGCCGGTAAAACTAATCTTAAGCGTGTCAGTCTTGAATTAGGTGGCAAGAGCCCGCTCGTTGTTTTCGATGATGTTGACGGTATGTTGTAAAAATAATAACGCATAATACACGAATAACTTTAATGCACTTTGTTGAATAATTAATTATATTTATATCACGTTGGCTGTTTACAGTGAAAGAAGCTGCGGAAATCGCGCATAACGCTCTATTTGCAAATCATGGACAGAGCTGTTGCGCAGGATCACGGACATTTGTACATTCTAAAGTATACAACGAATTCGTGAAGCAAGCTAAACAACTGGCGCTCAACAGGAAAGTAGGGGACCCGTTTGATTCTAAAATGGATCAAGGCCCGCAGATCGATCAGGATATGTTCGACAAAGTGATGGGCTTAATCAATTCGGGCAAACAGCAGGGCGCCGTTGTGGAAGCTGGCGGAAATCGCAAAGGCGACATTGGCTACTTCGTACAGCCTACAGTCTTTTCAAATGTAACCGACGACATGAGGATCGCCAAAGAAGAAATTTTCGGTCCGGTTCAAACAATCTTTAAATTCAGTGACATGAATGAAGCAATCGAACGTGCCAATCGCACTAACTATGGTCTTGCCGCGGGCGTTATTACTAAAGATATTAACAAAGCTTTGGAGTTTGCCCAAGCTGTGGAAGCGGGCAGTGTTTGGTAAGTGTATTCATGTATATAAGGAACATGCATAATAATACTTTGCTGTATTTGGGCACGTATAGCTATGTACGCTTAATATTTTCCAGGATAAACTGTTACGATGCTATCACACCTCAAACACCATTTGGTGGTTTCAAACAGTCTGGCATAGGACGTGAATTGTAAGCGATAACTGATCAAGCTATTGATTGAGTTGATTTAAACAGTACGCTAATTGAACTCGTATCTCTTTCTTTTCAGGGGAGAAGAAGGCTTGAACGAATATCTTGAGATTAAAACAATCTCTATCAATGTCGCAAAAAAGAATTAATATGTGAGGCGCATGATGTATAAACTCTTGATTTTCATTATACTTTTGTTATAAATGTCATGAATAAAACTTTTGTAACAGAATATTAATAAAATGATATATGCAATGATTAATTGTTCACAATACTAAAATTTGGGAAACTAATATACATATTTATATATGTCTTCCTATATCACAAAGTATAGGGAAATTTATATATATTTGAGGCATATGATACCTCAAAAATGAGAAATAACTATATAAATATAAGGTTGTAAAAGTTGTAAAACGGACGAAAAACAAAATAATTATATTTTAACGTTTTATAAACATAACACTTTTATTCTATGTTAAAACCTTGCAGATTCTTATTTCGGTATAATGATAAATATATTTTTTTACCTTCATGTAACACAGTTGTAAAATTATCTATGACACATGACTTTCGGGTTCATAATCATCTGGCGGTATACCTAATTCCTTGTCTGTCCACATGGATGGATCCGGATACGGGAATTCTCCCTAAACATAAATAAAATCTTTGCATTAAAGGCATCACCGATACTAGAAATATATATTCAGTAAAAATTATGTGACACTTACGACAATGTGGCCGAAGTCGTGCCAGAAATGCCACAGTACCCACCACCACATTATACCTCCGAAAAATTCAGCTGTGTACACCCATTTCTTGTCTTCTGGTGGGATATCTCGATATACATGAACACTGTTAAAGAGATAACACAGCAAATCATAGTAAACACATAGTACACGATGGAAAAAAAATTAATTAGATCACGCCGCATGTATTCTTTTCGTAAAATGTTTTCGTGCAATGAAATATATGTATGTATGTACACTTGCATTGAATAGCGAAACATCGAATCATAACCTATAACGTAGGGTTATATAATAATTTTATTTACCCGTGGGATAGCCTAACGGAGCACGTAAAATATTTTTGTGCAATAATAAAATATATGTACACTTGCATTGAATAGCGAAACATCGAATCATAACCTATAACGTAGAGTTATATAATAATCTTATTTACCCGTGGGATAGCCTAACGGAGCGCAGATTCGTCGCGGCGGTTTTACTTTGGCTACTTCTATAAGTGACTTTTAATAAATTTAATCCTCGTGAGAGTATCATTATTGCAAACAAATCGGCACTACCAAGCGATTCTCATCACAATGCAACGCACGGCGCACTGCTGCACTCCAGTACTCCACTGACGGCACTGACTCCACTTTCAGGCTTGTCGAACAAGATGGCGGCTTCGATATATCGATCTATCCAATATCGCCTCTCTCATTGGACTCTCCGGTTAAGCGTTCGAGAATCGCAATTTGCAACATCGATAGATGTTGTGATGTAGTTACGGGCGTCGCGCGTCGGGATGTACTGAACCGTTGTCGAATTGCTCCGTGTTTTTCGCAGTTATTAACGTCCAAAAGTGATTCGCGTCCGCGGAGATTGTCGCGAGTGTTGCCGTGAAGTGCCGAACGCTCGTCGTAATGCGTTGAACATCGCGCACGATCTCGCGTCACACCGCCACACCGATGCCGTAAGTTCGTGAATCCGTCTCTCTGTACGTTCAGAGTCAACCGAAATCGTTCTCGTATTCGCATTACGGCTTTAACCGATTGCGAGTACAAAAACACAGCGAGCAATGTCGGGAGTGTCGAAAAAAAGTGTCGGGCGATTGTCATATCACGCGCAGATACAGTATATCTCGTCGATGATGAAACACTTGAAAGTTCCGTCAAGTAAACTCCGCGCGATCATATGACAATTTGTACATGTAATTTTCCGTAAATTACGACTCATCCGTGCGTGATTTTTAAGCGAGATATACAGTCTTCGTACGCATCATGAACGATAAAATTTACGTGCGCAGCAGTCGGCAGTAGTCACAATAACGCTGTAATCGTTACATTAAGGTTAGCGTATATAATTAATTGAAATATACGATAGTTAATTGGAATAATTATGGTTATTTTCTGTATAACTATGATCATTGCTATCATTATTCTATAGATCAGAAAACAAAATTACTGCAATTTCGTAATCCTAACCTTAATAACCTATGTATTATTTACGATTGTTTTGGACTCAAAATTTACTAGTTTCTAATTACAAAAGAAATTAATTTTTTTCTCATATACGTTAATTTATGTTAAATAAATTTGGAATTTCAAAAAATTGTTAGTAACAAATGTATTATAAAAAAACCTTCTTTCTTGCTTGGTTGCTTGAGTCAAATCCTTAGAACATATATTACATATATTATATATAACATATATTATATTAGTAGTATATGTTCTAAGGTCAAATCCCAGATAGAAATAACTGACCATCGAATTAATGTCGAGTCGACATCAAATCAACATCGATACAATGAATTCGACATCAATTCAACATCGATTTAATGTCAAATTGATGGTCATTTCTCATGTGGGATTTGAATCCCACATGCACATATTTCCCAAGTAGACTTGGGATTGGGCCCTGAAATAGCTTTAGCGTAAAATTAATTTTAACTTATGAATTAGATTTTAATATGATTGCTTGATGAGTATAAAAATATGTGCATGAATTAAAGCGTTGAAAGCTTTTCTTTTACATTTTTTCTACGTATCTTTTTAAATTGAAGTGTACATATAATTTGCCGTTGTGAAATCGTTGTAATTAATATTATGAATGCTATTATCAGAATCCCATTCCTCTCATTCTTTTATATCTCATGTTCATGTAATTCTATACGCGTAAAGAGACACGGTTCGGTCCGACGCATACTTCTTTAGCGCCGAGACGATCGTGTCTCATGATGTTGTTGTCCTTTTGAATGACGATTCTAAGAATATTACTAAGCTTTTTTTACTAAGATAAATATTTTACGAATTTAAATAGAAGAAATAGGATTCAAGAAATAAATAAAATGAAGTGAAATAATTGCCTATGAGAGCCGACACAAGTATTAGTATGACTTCTTCTATCTAAATTCGTAAAATATTTACCTTAGTAAAAAAATCTTTGTAATATTGTTAGAATTGTCATTCAAACAGACAACATATAGAATTACATGAATCTGAGATATAAAAGAATGAGATGAATAAGATTCTTATAATGTAGCATTCATAATATTAATTACAACGATTTAGGTAATTATTTCACTATACATTTGAAATATTTTACGATTTTTATTTTGATTTGGAGATTCCTATCGGGACGCGCATCTAATAAATATGTTACGATTGTTATTGTTTAAAAATGAATTTTGTAGAAAATTTAGAAAGTGTCTTATAAAATGTTTGTCATAATAAAGACATTGCCGGACATCGCGTATAATTTTCAACTGCACACATTATATCCATTCACTTATATCATATTACTGCACATTTTTTTTGCATTGATTGATAAGTTTATAATTATCACCAATTGTGTATTGTAATCTATGTACATGTGCAATTTTTATTATATTTTTTTAAATATTATTAGAATAACGTTGAGAATATATGCGTTTTACATGTCGACGAGATGAGTTATAAGGAAAAATTAGACGTTAAATTTTAATTAAATCTTAAATACATTTATTTTCTAAAGCTTTGAGATCAATCGTAACTATTAAAAATAAAAATCTTTTGTTAATTTTTTTTATTAAAAAAGTATTAAGTAAAATATTGGCTAAATGCAATAACAGATATTTTTGCATATTACTTTGTGTTTTCATGTTTATTAAAAACAAATTGAGATGATCTAGTAGTAATAGATTCTTTGCATTTTTAAAATTATTCACGTTGATAAAAGGAGATTTGTAAAATAAAAATAATAAAACTGCATGTATTTAACGTTTTGTTTAGATTTATTTAAAAAATTCTTGAATCGCAAGTGTGAATGAAAAATTAGCTAGAAGGATATTAGAGAATTAAATTAAAGAATATGTAAAATTTAAAGTTAAATATATCGAAAATAGAATGTATCAAATATCTAACAAATTTTAGCGTTTGTTAATAAAATTTAAATTAAGCGTTTATTATTACGGGAAAATACATATAAAATTTATTTTTACCATGAATGTTTCAAAAGTTACTTACATTAATGGTCCGTTTTATCAGTAATATTAAAAGACTTTTAGATATTTATTATAGCGTAAATTAATTCGTAATCATATTATTTATATTTTTATATTATTATTACAGGTTTTAATTGTCACATTCTTCACTGGACAATGATGTCGAAACAACGGAAGAAATGGCGTTGGCGGCACATTTTGGTGAGTACATTTATTTATTCACTTATACATATCAAGAATCGGCGATGTCGTTAAGAGCAGACAATCACTTATTTGTCTTTCAAAATATGTAAATTTTGAAACAGTATATTTTATACCATTGAATTATATTTTTTGAGATAACGGTTTTTTTTAAATGGCAAAAAAAGTTACCCGGCGCGTCCGTTCCATTTTGTTCTTCTTTTACGAGATTAATTTACGACAGCTTAACATTCGATGGAAGTCGTAGAAGTATATCAGCCGCGGAATGTTCGCCATTATCCACGGTACGACTAAAACTCGGGGAGCAAAGGGGCGCACTCGTACGTTAGGGGAGCATTGCAACTCGCTGCTATTGGCTGAGCAAACGCTTTTACAAGCTGCAGCGAGGCATTTGATCCCCTCGGTAGCAACCCTCCCGAGACTTATCCCGCATTGGCGCTTCAGCCATAATAGCAGCCCCCGGTCGTACCTAATAATATGTTTTATAGAGGCCGTCGTCCAGTATCTTTCTCCGACGAACGAGCTCTTAACCGTAGATACGAAACACCCGTATAGTTTAGAACAAAATTGTCTTTGCAGAAATGCGCAAAATAAAATAGTACATATATTTAAATAAAAGAATTATTAACGTTTCACTTCATTAAAAAAATATATGATACCATTTTATACAATATTTTATAATATGATATAATATCTAAATGCCGATACAAATTTTTTACGTGTAAATATTCTCTGCGTTATTATGTATATTAATATTTTTGACATTTTTAACACTTGTTACCGGTAATATATTGTCGATAATATATGATAACTAATTCTAACTAAATAACTACCTACTTGATAAAAAACGAAAATTTTGTTCAAACTATAAATATCTATACCTATGTCATTATAATATTTCTGAATTAGACTTGGAGCATTAACTAGTATATTATAATTTACATCGCAATATACTAATTTCAATTAATCAGTTAAATTTTATTATTATATTTCTGTCACTGGTTATCCTTACCGCAATGTGAAATATTTATATTAAAAACAATTTGCAAATAAAACATATATCAAACAGAAGTGTTTATAAAGTATTGTTTATAATGAATCATACTTGCGAAAGTATTTAATTTTTAACATTTTTCTAAAGAAAATAAGTGTGATCTATTTTTTTAACTTATATTTTAATAACGCAGATAATGATTTTCCTTAATATTTTATAAAGAAAAATTACGCTACGTAAATAATTACATTACTAATTTTCAGATAATATTGTTTTGTATGAAATAAAAAAAAGAATTAAATATTAAAAAATTTAGTATATAAACGAATATGATGGTATCTATATATTTCTAATACACTAATTTTTTAATATACAAAATGATTTAATTAAAACTTATTTTTATTTTGATATTTACGCAACGCGTAATGCAAAATATTTCCATATTAATAATATAGTTTCTATAAATCTTTCTCTTTAGCATTCACATATTCTGTATTGGAATAATTGAAACATTTTACCTAATTCATTTGTGAATTTATTTTTACATAAATTGCACACATATAAACACACGATATTAGTGATATAATAGTCATTAAAGCATTCAAATATAATATTCTTGTTTTAATAAATAATTAAGTGCATTTATTACATTTCAATATCGCTAAAAAATTAAGTGATTCTTGCTTTAGTCAAAATTGTTTTGCAATCATACTTATCCTAGATAGATTAAATCGCACATATAAAAAATGGATCAATTAAAAAAGTAACAGTTACGTACAGTATTTTTATATTTTTATTTGAGTATAATTCAAATTTGCACGCATAATTTCGATTTATTACAATTTCGGAAGGATTGTCATACTTATTAGTTATTTAAAAAATTACAATTTATTGCAATATTTTTTGTGATAATATTGTGGATTTAATCAGCTATTTTTAATCTACTTAATAGATTTGATTTGTATATTTTTCGGTATATAGGTTTGAATAAAATCGAGAAAAATGCATAGAGGCGATATAAATCTACTGTACAAATTTACTTTGCATCAAAATTTTATTCTGACGGTTGAATGATTTAACTACCTTCACACATTATTTGCAAGTGAGTATTCCATGTGATATGGGCAAGACGTGTTAGCGCATCGCCCGGTTGTTAATTCATAAATTTAGCGTTGTCATTTCGGCTACTGGTAGCGCTTACATCATCACGGTAACTTTTGTTTAGAGAGGGGTGACTTATTGATGGATCCGCGTTTACGAGAACCGTTCGGCGGTTTTCCGCATACATTCCCCGCAGATTAAGAAAAAGAGCGGACTATAAGTTGCACCCCTTTACGATCGCGTAAACTGCATTGGATTGCAAATTCTCGAGCACATAATAACGATCTCAGCATCATCCCCGTGGCGAAGAAACGGGGCCTGTAGATTAGATGGCTCGTTCGATGGGCGATACGGGAAATATGTCGGCTCGTATCCCATTACCCGGGTGCGCGCCACCCCTCTCTGGTTGACGTGGCGCGCGCGCTATTTCGCTCCTCCGTACGCCATAGAACGAACCGTTCTGGCAAGGAGATGCTGCGGGAGAGTGTTTCCATGGATACCAGGTCGGCCATCTTGGTCCATGGGCGTGAGGGATACGATAGACCGGAGGAAAATCCGATAAATTAACTGCGACTACGTGGGAACGTAGTTCGTTTCAAAATGGCGACTCGTTTCCAGTCGCAATATGCTCCGCGATAACTTAAACATTTCCGTTTTATATATGATTTTGTGTTTTTTTTTATACATATTATTGTTTTATGAAATCTGTTTTTCTAAACAAAAATTTTTATATATTTCGAGTTTGCCAAATTGGTCGTGAAAATATCGCAATTACGCCAATTTTCTATGTCCCATTGATTTTATAAATATTAGATTGTTTAAAAAGTTGATAACAATTAAATAAATTTAATATTTAGCTTTTTCGATAGTATATATATGTACATATAAAAAATATTTTTACAGAAATTCGTTCAAATACTGGCGGAAGAATACGAAATATTTTTGGTAAAAAGTACGGCTATACAATAATATAGTTCTTATACCGTCAATATATCTATAAAAAGAATTCCCTTTTTTGATCGTTGGTGGTTGCCAATGTCACGTAACATACTGAATCGCATGACGGAATAACCAGGATTAAAGGTAGAAAGGAATGAGCGTGGCGAAAAAGAAGCTAAAAAAGCAGTAAAACTGTTACGGATGCGACTTTAGCCGAACGTTTGAGAATCGCATTCTCTTCACGCGTATTTGGCATTATTGTACGGCCGACGTTCCGCGACGTCGTGTTCCTTCAACAGAAGGAATGGGTCGCTAAAGGCGTACTTTTATTGCACCTGTAAATATTATAACCTCCATTTGCTTCTTCTTCTATAACTAAAGATCTTTCATAATCGGAAAGCGCGAGGGATAATTCCTAAAGAAAACTATCGAGCTATTGTGTTTAAAGGTTTTAGTATCCTATAAATCTCTTATGTGCTTATAGATTATAGATTATATTTTATGTAACGAAGAAGTTAGGAGTAAAAATTATTTATTTTATGTTTATGCAATTGTGCAAAAGTTTATATGCGTGCATATCAATATAAATATTTCACATTACTCGTTTTTCAAAATTATATATAAATAAGCAGTTTTATAAAGCATTAGAAACTAAAGGTGTACAAAGATAGTGATAGCTACAGTTGCAGGAGTCGCTTTAACCGTGTTCCATTTTGACAAGGGCCGCGCACGGTTTCCTTTATTTGTCAGTAAAAACGTGCCACATGCTCTGTTTCCTTGGTAACGATCGCGTAACGTGTCTCCTCCTTCGCAATGAAGTCCTTCAATATGTCTCTCGTGAAGTAACAAGAAAGTCGTTGTTCGTCCGTACTTTTGACCGTGTGGTAGCAGCTGCTAATTGATTTTGCCAATCTATCTAGAAAACCGATAAAAATGTTCTCATTTTTTTCTTAATTTCATGTCAGTCCGATTGTTATACTATTGCCGATTTCAATATTACTTTTAGACATAGGCTAGACTTTACGGTTGTTCAAAATACTTGTAAATGTGACATTACTTTGAATATGTCACAAAATATAAAAATATTTTTTATACGGATTTAATTTTTTGATTCAGTGGATTTAATTTTTCGTAACATACAAAAATTTTTGAGAGGGACAAAGATTTAACTACGGGAATATTAACTTTCCGCGGATAAAATTTTACAGATAGGTAAAAACTTAGAATAGAAACTTTACTGTTTGGCTAATTCAAATTTTATTTTAACATTTTTAACAACATTCTATTGAAGATATTAATATTATATTAACAAGATTCTATTGAAAATTTACTGCTTTAAAAGTTAATACTAAAACCGTCGGATATGCCATTTTTGCTCCGCTGACATTAAAAATTTCTATATATTTCTGTATTGGTTAACAGTATTTTCTGACTTTTTATCCGTTTGATTGATAAAATAATTAATTAATTGCATTTATATTTAAATATTTTACTTTTATTTTTATCTTAAACTTTCGAAGTCGCGGCCAATATGCGTTTAATGTTAATAAATTTGTCAATTGAATTTCAATTGGAAGAGTTCGATAACGGAAAGTGCCACATGTGTGAATGTGAAGTTAGCACTCCACTAATTAAATTTCATTGTTCTGATTAGAGTTTCCGCTTCATTTTGAAGAGACGAAAAGTTCCTTGTAGTTTATACAACAAGAGTTCTGCTTAATAACAATTTTTACTTTAAGTTTAAAAAATGGGATGCTAACTTCTTATTAAAATTCATGATCGTTCTGAGCGGTTTGTTATAAAATATAAACTATAGGAAACTGTTCTCTTGAAAATGAAGCGGGAACTCTAATCAGAACTCTATGGAATTTTAATGTTGGGGTGCTAACTTCACACACACGATTGGGGACGTGCGTGAAATTAACATAAACATTTTTTAAACAATTTTTACTTTTGTCGCCAGCAT